TTGTGCATTATCCTCGAGTATTATAGTCTTACATAAGAAGTTAATTAAAAGTTAGATTAGATTAAATTTTGCTAGTTTACTGTGTACCTCATGTAAATCCTGTGGATGGTAGTGGCTAGTTTACCGTGTACCTCATGTAAATCCTGTGGATGGTAGTGGCTAGTTTACTGTGTACCTCATGTAAATCCTGTGGATGGTAGTGGCTAGTTTACTGTGTACCTCATGTAAATCCTGTGGATGGTAGTGGCTAGTTTACTGTGTACCTCATGTAAATCCTGTGGATGGTAGTGGCTAGTTTATTGTGTACCTCATGTAAATCCTGTGGATGGTAGTGGCTAGTTTACTGTGTACCTCATGTAAATCCTGTGGATGGTAGTGGCTAGTTTACTGTGTACCTCATGTAAATCCTGTGGATGGTAGTGGCTAGTTTACTGTGTACCTCATGTAAATCCTGTGGATGGTAGTGGCTAGTTTATTGTGTACCTCATGTAAATCCTGTGGATGGTAGTGGCTAGTTTACTGTGTACCTCATGTAAATCCTGTGGATGGTAGTGGCTAGTTTACTGTGTACCTCATATCCATCTAGGCCCCAAAAGGGGTTAACATAATACTTCTGGATTTACATCTCCAGTTCACTTATCAGTTAGTGGGAAACTTACGATTATACTGACGAAGAAAACACCACCACTACCACTACTACCACTATTACCACCACCACCACCACTACTACCATCACCACCACCACTACCACCACCACCACACCACCACCACCACCACCACCACCACCACCACCACCACCACCACCACCACCACCACCACCACCACCACCACCACCACCACCACCACCACCCACCACCACTACCACCACCATTACCACCACTTCTACCACCACCACCACTACGACTACCACCATCACCACCATCACTACGACCACCACTACTATCATCACTACCACCAGTAGCACCACTCCTACCATTACTACCACCATCACTACCACCATTACTACCACCATCACTACCACCATCACTACCACCATCACTGCGACCATTACTACCAGCATCACTACCACCATCACTACTACCATCACTACCACCATCACTACCACATCACTACCACCATCACTACCACCATCACTACCACCATTACTACCACCATCACTACCACCATCACTACCACAATCACTACCACATCACTACCACTATTACTACCACCATCACTACCACCATCACTACTACCATCACTACCACCATCACTACTACCATCACTGCCACCATAACTACCACCATCACTACCACCATCACTACTAAGATCACTACCATCACTACCACCATCACTACTACCATCACTACCACCATTACTACCACCATCACTACCACCATCACTACTACCATCACTACCACCATCACTACCACATCACTACCACCATCACTACCACCATCACCACTATCATCACTACCACCAATACTACCACCATCACTACCACCATTATTACTACCATCACTACCACCATTACTGCCACCATCACTACCACCATCACTACTACCATCATTACCACCATAGCTACCACCATCACTACCCCCATAACTACCACCATCACTACCACCATCACTACCACTATTACTACCACCATCACTACCACCATCACAAACTACCATCACTACCACCATCACTACTACCATCACTGTCACCATAACTACCACCATCACTACCACCATCACTACTACCATCACTACAATCATCACTACCACCATCGCTACTACCATCACTACCACCATCACTACCACCATCACTACCACCATCACTACCACCATCACTTCCACCATCACTACTACCATCACTACAACAATCACTACCACCATCGCTACCACCATCACTACCACCATCACTACGACTATACATTATCTAACTGGAATATAAATTCGCCTTGTATTGGGATTATTTTCCTTTTGAGATCCAATTAATAATCGTAATATTTTCCGGATTATATGTTAGTGTGATGGTGAGAATAACTAACTGTTCCTAGAACGTTATGTCATTTCGGATAATCGAAGGGTAATTAAGACGGGAGGTTAATTACGTTTTAAGTCCATATATTACGCGAGGGTCATTAAGGCTGGGTGGTTGGTTAATGGGGTTTAAAGTCTATCTACTACACGAGGGTCATTAAGACTGGGTGGTTGGTTAATGGGGTTTAAAGTCTGTCTACTACACGAGGGTCATTAAGGCTGGGTGGTTGGTTAATGGGGTTTAAAGTCTATCTACTACACGAGGGTCATTAAGACTGGGTGGTTGGTTAATGGGGTTTAAAGTCTATCTACTACACGAGGGTTATTAAGACTGGGTGGTTGGTCAATGGGGTTTAAAGTCTGTCTACTACACGAGGGTCATTAAGACTGGGTGGTTGGTTAATGGCGTTTAAAATCTGTCTACTACACGAGGGTCATTGAGGCTGGTCGTTTGGTTAATGGGGTTTAAAGTCTATCTACTACACGAGGGTCATTAAGGCTGGATGGTTGGTTAATGGGGTTTAAAGCCTATCTACTACACGAGGGTCATTAAGGCTGGTTGGTTGGTTAATGGGGTTTAAAGTCTATCTACTACACGAGGGTCATTAAGGCTGGTTGGTTGGTTAATGGGGTTTAAAGTCTATCTACTACACGAGGGTCATTAAGGCTGGATGGTTGGTTAATGGGGTTTAAAGCCTATCTACTACACGAGGGTCATTAAGGCTGGTTGGTTGGTTAATGGGGTTTAAAGTCTATCTACTACACTAGGGTCATTAAGGCTGGGTGGTTGGTTAATGGGGTTTAAAGTCTATCTACTACACGAGGGTCATTAAGGCTGCAGGTCACCTGGTCACCACCAGTCAAGAATACTTTAATACCTAAAATACTGATTAATGTAAACTACCAGTGTATATACATTGATACGCACTTCTCAGTGTATATACACTGAGACATTTTCTCCTAACCATGAATCTTCACAGAGATACATACCATACAGTGTATTTACACCTCTCAAGGTATATACATATAAATTATACGTGCATGTATATATATATATATATATATATATATATATATATATTATATATATATATATATATTTTATATATATATATATATAAAATATATATATATATATATATATATATATATATATATATATATATATATATATATATATATATTTGTTGTTCCTCCAGCAACAGTAACACTGTTGTTTCTCCAGCAACAGTAACACTGTTGTTTCTCCAGCAACAGTAGCACTCTTGTTCATCCAGCAACAGTAACACTGTTGTTTCTCCAGCAACAGTAACACTGTTGTTCCTCCAGCAACAATAACACTGTTGTTCCTGCAGCAACAGCAACAATGTTGTTCCTGCAGCAACAGCATCACTGTTGTTCCTGCAGCATTTGCAACACTGTTGTTCCCTCCCAGCAACAGCAACACTGTTGTTCCTGCAGCAACAGCAACACTGTTGTTCCTGCAGCAACAGCAAACACTGTTGTTCCTGCAGCAACAGCAGCACTGTTGTTCCTGCAGCAACAGCAACACTGTTGTTCCTGCAGCAACAGCAACACTGTTGTTCCTGCAGCAACAGCAACACTGTTGTTCCTGCAGCAACAGCAACATTGTTGTTCCTGCAGCAACAGTAACACTGTTGTTCCTGCAGCATCTGCAACACTGTTATTCCTGCAGCAACAGCAACACTGTTGTTCCTGCAGCAACAGCAACACTGTTGCTCCTGCAGCAACAGCAACACTGTTGTTCCTGCAGCATCTGCAACACTGTTGTTCCTGCAGCAACAGCAACACTGTTGTTCCTGCAGCAACAGCAACACTGTTGTTCCTGCAGCAACAGCAACACTGTTGTTCCTGCAGCATCTGCAACACTGTTGTTCCTGCAGCCACAGCAACACTGTTGTTCCTGCAGCAACAGCAACACTGTTTTTCCTGCAGCAACAGCAACACTGTTGTTCCTGCAGCAACAGCAACACTGTTGTTCCTGCAGCATCTGCAACACTGTTGTTCCTGCAGCAACAGCAACACTGTTGTTCCTGCAGCAACAGCAACACTGTCGTTCCTGCAGCAACAGCAACACTGTTGCTCCTGCAGCAACAGCAACACTGTTGTTCCTGCAGCATCTGCAACACTGTTTTTCCCTTTGCAGCAACAGCAACACTGTTGTTCCTGCAGCAACAGCAACACTGTTGTTCCTGCAGCAACAGCAACACTGTTGTTCCTGCAGCAACAGCAACACTGTTGTTCCTGCAGCAACAGCAACACTGTTGTTCCTGCAGCAACAGCAACACTGTTGTTCCTGCAGCAACAGCAACACTGTTGTTCCTGCAGCAACAGCAACACTGTTGTTCCTGCAGCATCTGCAACACTGTTGTTCCTGCAGCAACAGCAACACTGTTGCTCCTGCAGCAACAGCAACACTGTTGTTCCTGCAGCATCTGCAACACTGTTGTTCCTGCAGCAACAGCAACACTGTT